TTGCGCTAGTAAAGGCCGATGCACCACACATCATTGTGACGCATTGTATTCTGCACAGGCATGCGTTGGCAACAAAAACCTTACCTCCAAAAATGACAGAAGTATTAAAAACTGTGGTGGAATGTGTGAACTATGTGCGAAAAAGTGCTCTGAGGCACCGCATCTTCAGTGAGCTGTGTAAAGAAATGGGCTCTGAATTTGAGGTACTTCTGCTCCATTCTAATATTCGGTGGTTATCCCGGGGACAGGTGCTGAATCGTGTTTTTGCCATGCGTGTGGAATTAGCCCTGTTTTTGCAAGAGCACCAACACTGCCATGCAGATTGCTCCAAAAATCCTGAGTTCATTCTCATTTTAGCGTACATGGCTGATATATTCGCAGCTCTCAATCATCTCAATCAGCAGATGCAGGGTGGTGGAGTCAATATCATGGAAGCGGAAGAACACCTGAAGGCTTTTCAAAAAAAGCTACCGTTATGGAAACGACGAACAGAGAACAATAACTTCGCAAACTTCCCGCTTCTGGACGACTGTGCAAGTAAGATCGAAGATGTGTCTGGAATCGGAGATATTTCTGTATCCACAGAACTGAAGCAAACAATTGCCACGCACTTAGATGAGCTTGCAAAGTCTCTCGACGGATATTTCCCTACAAGAGAGTCATATCCAGCATGGGTGAGACAGCCGTTCACGTTTGCTGTTGAAACAGCAGATGTCAATGATGAATTCCTCGACGAAATCATTGAAATTCAGCAGAGCCAGGTTCAACAGCAACTCTTCAGAACAACAACGCTCTCAACGTTTTGGTGTCGACAAATGAACAAGTATCCAGTTATTGCTAAGAAAGCCCTGGATTTTTTATACCATTTGTTACAACATATCTTTGTGAGCAATCCTTTTCGAGGATGCTGGACATAAAAACGAAGAAAAGGAACAGACTTTGCTGTGAAAATGACATGAGAGTGGCACTTGCCAAGGTGAAGCAACGCATATCTGAACTGATCTCTCAAAGGCAACAGCAGAAGTCACATTGATTTCCAGGTATGTAATTTGTTGTGAGTTTATGCATTGTGTTGGTTTTATTCTTTGAACAAGGTAATGTTCATGCACGGCTCATTTTGTGTACCAGTAAAACACATATCTATGTCTTGAATTTGAAAAAAAATCACATTTTATTTTTCACTAAAGAGGGGTTCGGTGAATGCGCATATGAAACTGGTGGGGTTCGGTACCTCCAACAAGGTTAAGAACCACTGGGCTAGGGTCATGCTATGCCCACAGACCATTTCAAGAGGCGCCGATGCATGTGAATGTGAAACGGTCCTTAATAAATAACGTCACGACACAGTCCTTAAAAAGCCGCATGCGACTCCGGAGCTTCATGTTTCCAATCTCTGCCAGACACTAGAGGGACTCTACAGCAATGCGGTTTCTATGTCCGCCGCGTCTCATTGCCACGAACGACTGACCCCACTGAAACAAACACCTACCGAGACCACGCAATTGTTTAGGTTAATTGGTTTATTTGCACATCGATGTTAGTTATGTTGTTTAGCAGGGGTCCATGTTGGTTACGATGTTGTGTGGATGCGCCGATGCCAGAACAGCATGTTATTGATTACAAGCCCATGATCATCTTAGTGGGGGCGTAAGCCACCACCACTCTTCCTCACGTCCTGTTAATGAAGGGGAGCTCACAAGAGGCTGGGACTCACAGCTGCCCACACCTCACATCCACACTCCAACGCCCCCTTAATTATTTTGTTCAGAAGGGTAATTCCCTATAGTTTTGCAGTTTCCTACTTAAGAGTGGAGGACTGTCCACCCCTCAGAGCGATTGACGCGAGAACCAGCACACCAGACCTTTATTCCATAAATATCCAGGCGGTACCAGTCCAGCTCCCAACAGAGGAACGGCAGCCTCCCATCCACATTTGAGTCTTCGAACATTCCATGTGGTTTTCCTGTTTCTGTAAGAACCTCGAGGGAAGTCATAGGTATTGATTCCCCCATTTATTGGCAAAACCTTATTTTGGTGTTTTCACCGTGGTTATTTTGGCAAGTAAATTATGGTGGATTACCAGCACCTCGCACAAACACCTCTGATTCGCATGGTTGTCTATGTACGGTGGGAAAAAAGTTCAACATACATCAAAAACAACCGGCATTCGCCACTAAGTGCGGTGACGTTACCACGACGCTTGTGCCAGGCTATGTGCATGTTGAGGCCACGTGAAGTGTCGAACGCCCGCTGGCAGGTCATGGGGCAGACCCAGGTGTCACAGGTCGACTGAGATGAATGGCTGATGCACCATCTGTGCCCCCTACTGTGCCAACTTGCTGTGCTTTAGCCACCCAGTGCTCCACTCGTTGTTGGGAGCGTCGCTCCTCTGCCCTCCGTTGTTGGAGGGCGACTGCCTCCAACTTCCCAATTGCGTCCTTCACGAGCCTCCTCCACAGAGGCCGATCTTGACACCGCTGGTACCAGTCATCGACAAGTCCACTCAGCTCCACATTCTCCTGTACCACATTACTCCATCTCATCTCTAGCCCATGCCGCGCCCATTTAGCCCCATCGATCCGGCCAAACAAAAACTGTTTAAGCATGCGGTGGCTGGGCATGCGGGCTACGTGACCCAGCCAACACAGCCTTGCCTGCCGGAGGAGCTCACTGATGGGACTTTGTCCGGATCTTTCAAGGATTTGTGAGCTCCTCACACAATCCAGCCTGGTTAAACTCAGGATGGATGACAGGCAGGCCAGCCTAAATGTTTCTAACTGGCAAAGATGTTCCATTTGGGGGGTCCACGTTTCGCAAGCGTAGAGAAGGGAGGGAATGACTGTGGCCGGGAAGACCTGAAGCTTTCTACGGAGCGCCAGACCAGGTAGCTTCAACACAGTGTTCCGGAACTGATGAAAAGATAATGTTGCTCGACTGGTTCGGAGTGAGATCTCTGCTGTCAAACCGAAGCCGGTCATGAGCACACTGCCCAGGTATGGGAAGCTCTCCACTCTCTCCACAACTATCCCATCACCAATTGGGAGTTGTGGGGGTGGAGTGTCCGATGGTACAACATACCCGGCAAGTGCTTAGTTTTGGTGGGGCTGATGGTAAGGCCCCACCTCTTAGTGGAAAGCTCCAGCTTCTGCAGCAGTGCCTCTAACTCCTCCTCTGAGTGAGCAGCAATTACCAGATCATCGGCATACATAACATGGTTGACCAATAGGGAGCCATCCCTTGACCGCACCCGGGCATCGATCAGCCTCCCATTGTATCTGTACCAGATGGAAATTCCTCTGGTACAGCCATCGAAGGCTTCACAAACGACGTGGTCGAAATATATGTTAAATAATGTGGGAGCCAGAGGACATTCCTGTCACACCTCAAAGTGAACAGGGAATGGCTTCGACTCCCAGCCACGTAATTTTACCCGGGCCCGCTCACCATCATGAAGGTCCTTAATGATCGTGAGCAAAGGGTCAGGGACTCTGAAAGCATGAAGAACAATCCAGAGCCCAGGCCTATTGATGGTAACATTGGCCTTGACCAGGTCAATAAAGCAGAGATGTAGGTCTTGTTGGAATTCCCTACACCTCTACTGTAGCAGACAGATAGAAAATATGGCATCTGTGCAGAACCGCCCTTTCCTGAAATCGGATTGGGGCTCCGCAAGCCTCTCCTCAGCGTGCCTGGCAAGGCGATGTTGAATAATCCTTGCCAGGACCTTTCCCGGCACACTGAGGAGTGAGATGCCCCTGTAGTTGTTCCAGTCTGTGCGGTCCCCCATCTTGAAGAGGGGGCCACCAGGGAATCCTTCCAATCCTGCGGAACGCGTCCAGTGGTCCAGACTGTTGTTATGTTATGTGGGGCAGACTGTGCACAAACGCCACCCTCCCGCAGAATTTTGCTTGGGAGCTCATCTCTGCCCAGTGCCTTTCCTGGTCTCAGACTCTGGATCGCCTTCAGTACTTCCTCAACAGATGGCACCTCAACCAGCCACTCACTGGGGGCGACTTCTTCCAATATTTAAGGCACCGCAGCCTAAGCAGGGTCATCCCCACTTTGTCCCACTTTGTTTTCCAGGCTTAGGGATTTTCCCTCCCCCAGGACCTCACAGAAATGCTCAGCAAATCTGCAAACCTGTTCCTGGGGGTCGGGGATTGGATCACCGTTCTTTCCCCTAATGATGGTAATAGGTGTGGCGCTGCAAGTTACTTTTTTGATGGAGTTAAAGAGCGATGTGTGATCGTGGGCGATTGAGGCAGACTCCATCTCCTCAGCAACCCGCGACCACCACCCATCCTTGCAGTGTCTCACGGCTCTCCGAACATTCGAGCAAAGGCTGCGGTAAGCCTCCTCATTCTCTGATGTGGGATGCTGTAGACGATGAGAGTGGGACTGTCGCTTTTTCTCAGCCAGCCTGAACACCTCCTCTGTCAGCCAGGGTCTCTGAGGTCTGGACCGTGTACCCAAAGCAGCCATTGCAGCTGCTTGAGCCACAGTCCTAAACTTCGCCCATTGCCCCTCGACATCAGGAGTGGGGGACGATGCCAACCGAACATTCCACGTAAGGATTCAGTCTCCTGGCTCCGCCAAATGGGGTTTGGCCAGGAGACGTCATAGATGTCTGTCCCCCCGGGGCCTCCGGCACAAGCTTATTTAAAGTGTAAATTAGTGGTTTAGTGGTAATTAATTGAAGGTTGGAGGGGTTACCAGCCCCTCGCACCCATCCAGAGCCCCCTTTGCCTTGCTGTGGTGGCTACAAATGCCATGAGGGGAATGGCCAATCTAAATGTGCCCTCCTCCCATGGCACTACTCACCACAGCATTGCCGTCCAGCACCAACGAGGAGGTAGGGGGTTGTTTTTCCGGACTCAACATACATACAAATAGAAGCACATACACACAAAAACTCTAATTTAATAAAGCACTCAGATATGTCCATAGACATACAGCCACAAATACCCAGGCTCACACATAGATCCACACACAGCCACATATGTGATTGGCGTTACTTTATTTTTAATCACAATTGAGCACAGGAACAAATTCCCAAAACGCCCAGTCGCCAGCAAAAAACAGCACTGTAAAATGTTTAATTAGGTAACTGACAAATTCCTTAAATTGTGCAAGGTTACATACTCATATAGAAACCCAAAGATTCTAAAGTGAGTCTATGGGTCTATGTGACCCTATGGGTCCTCATGTAAGTCTATGGGTTTCTGTGTGAGTCAATGAGTCTCTATGTGAGTATATGCATCTCTGTGAGTCTTTGGGGTCTCAAATGCAAGTTTATGGGTCCCTATAAAAGTCTATGGGTCTCTGTGATTCAATGGGTCTTTATGCAAGTCTATGGTTCTCTAAGTGAGTCGATGGGTCTTCTACATTCGTATATAGGTCTTAATGCGAGTCTGGTCTCTGTCAGTCTATATGTCTCTGTGAGGCTATGGGTCTATGTATAGATGTTGCTGGGTAAGGCCGGTGGCTTCATCAACATCTGCAGCTGCGGAAGGCTTGGTGCTGAGAGCTGCAAGAAGTGGTGAAGTATGGGGACAAAGACAAACATCACACACACACTCTTTGGTTCTATTGGGTAAAGTCACGTAGGTGAAAAAAAATTTTTGTTATTTTATTTTCACCTACGTGACTTTACCCAATAGAACCAAAGAGTATGGATCCTAGCAGTCACGAAAGCTTTAAATCTAAAACATCACACAGTATGATGAGTGTGTGACAGCATGAGTGTGAGTGAGGAGGGGAGGTGTAGCAGTTAGTGCACTGCACTACGAACCTAGACAGCCGAGTTCGATTCTCACTCACAGCCAACACCAGTGACGATTAATTGAACCAGTCGTGGGCCTCCCCTAGGTTGACTCAGCCTCATTTGAGGACCTGGTGCGATGTTTAAATATCATCACTAGGGAGACAAAGGCGGTCGGGGGTTGTGGTGGTCACGGGTGGTGCTGGCCCCCCCACCCCCACGTGATGTGCTTGCTTTCATTGATGCTTGATAACAACACTTGTCCTAACAGTCTATGAAGGCTATATGGGGGATCTTTGTTTTGTACGAGGATAACAACAACCACCGTTCGCCACTAAGTGGAGGTAATACCAACAGAAGAGAGGGTGAATGGTTGCGAGGCAGAGGGACATGAATGCCAAACCTTTGTGTGAGGTAGTGAGATGTGGAGTGCAACCCCTGCGTACAACCATGAGCCGGGCTGGCACTCCACAGCAGTCGGAGGGGGGTATATGGTTCTCTGCTCGGGGCTAGTGTGGCAAGGGGCCGTCCCTCCACTCCCCCGTTGCCCATCAAACCCCGCTCTGGGGCTCCGGCCACAGGGCTGATGTATTTCACACGCTTGGGAAGGAGTATTCCTCATTTTGGGAGATGGAGACGTGGATAAAGATTCAGAGGCATGGGCGAGCGACAATGGCATGCAAGGACCAGCCAGAGATGGGAGCTACCTCAGGCCAGCCCCCGCTGACCCGGGGAGATTTCAGACTGCGCCAGCTAACCAATTTTGCCACCCTGCTCGCACAGGCTTTGCATCGCGTGGCATCTTTCCGTTGATGGGGAGGTGTTCTTCTTTGATATGGCTGATGTAGATGCAGAGCAACAACTACATTTTCACATTCAGGTGGTCAAGCCAGATAACCACGTCAGGAGTAGCGGAGTGTATCGCTGTGATGTCCCCTTCATATTTGTGGATCGGGCATTGCATCATTATGTTGTATGGTCTGTTCTGGGTGACCAGTCACACACTGGAGAGTTTTTTATTTATTTTCCATTTGTGCATTAGGTATCCGCATCTGCTGCCATGGTTTGTGTGGATGCGGTTTAGGGTGGACCTTATCTTCAGGGATCACTGACGCGACCAGAGGGCTGATTCTCCGGATGATGCGTTCCAGGAGTTTATAGGTCGTGCACAGGAGTGATATTGGCCTATCCCTTCCCGGGTCATTGGTTGGCTTTCCCAATTTGGGTATGGTGATAACCATTGCTTTCCAACATGCATTTTGGATGCATCTGGTTTTCATGTTTGTGTAAAGCTTTGCCAAGCATTGGAGTCCCCTAGGACCTAATTGGTGAAGAAATTCTGGAGGATTCCATCTCTGCCAGAAGCCTTGCCTTCATTGCAGCCAGACTGTCCCTCACTTCCTTTGTGCTGATAGCGGTGGGGTCTTGTGAAGAAATTGAGGCCATTGTCTGGTGTAATTGGCTAAGGATCTCTCGCTTGATGTTTTTGTCAAGACGTCCTTTTGTGTTCTCCACTAGTTTGGAGGCTATAGAGTTGGGCAGGACTTTTGAGGTCTGGTATTGTTGGATTAGCAGCACCCAGGCATCATAGTAGGGCCCAGGCACGGTGGCTGGAGTGTGTGAAGTCCAGGGCTTCAACGCACTCAATCCTTTGCATCTGGCTGAGTCTAAAGACTCTAGCAGGGCCTTTCCAACCTGTGGACTGCCTAACTGGTTGTTGCTTTCGGAGCAGGTCCTGGAAATCCTTTGTCCAGCATGGAGAGTATTATTTCCAGAAGCCTCGGGTGGGGATGCTCTTCTTGGTGACTGCTGTAAAGAGGCCAATAAAACGGTGATAGCATTCCAGTGTGATGGGAATTCTACTCACCACTCTCTCTACAGCCTCCGTATAGTGGTTCCAGTCATATTTGAGCAGGTTCCACCTTGGAAATTTTTTTTACACAATCACAGGGATTTTTATGCCAATGTGGGTGATGATGGGCCTATGTTGACTTTTGGGGAAGCTTGGAAGTATTTTGTGGGATGCATGCAGTGTGCTTCCACTTTGATATTTGGAAACTATGGTGAGGTCCGGGTTGTAGTGGTGATGCCAGCAAGCAGAGTGGAAAGTTGCTTGTTGCTTGGGATCGAAAACCAGGTGCAGATTTTCAGTGGATATCCAGTTAGTGAGGTCTTCGCCGTCAGCATGATAAATGTATAGGGCTGGGATTGGTACACTTGGGAGTGCTGGCTTTGGCCATTTTGCATTAGAGGCTTTGTACACTATGGTGATGTGCGGCTCCCCTATTTTGATACTGGTGGTGTAGGTGGCTTCTTTTTCAAATGGTGGGAAGGCGTATAACTTTGATGATGGGGAGGTGAGCCTAGGGCAGCCTAGTCTGGCACCTAATCTGGCACAAGCGCCACGGTGATGTCACCGCCACTTAGTGGCAAATGGTAGTTGTGTGACTGAATGTGAGAGTGTAATCGAATGTGGGTGTAAGAGTGGGGAGTGGTAGTGTTGTGGTTACCATACTGTACTATGACCCCGGCAATCCGAGTTTGATTCCTGCTCATGGCAAACAGTGACAATTATGTGAATGGGTTTTGGGACTCCCTTAGGTTGATTCAGCTTCAGTGTGAAAAGGCGGTCAGGTGTGGTGCTGGCCATCCACCTCATCATGCCTTCACAGGTGATTGCGAGCAGCATTTGCCCATAGAGTGTTAAATTAATTAAGGTTACACGGGGGATCTTTGTGTATGAGGGTGTGTGAGGAAGTGTGGCTGTGTGTGTCTGAGTGCGAGTGAATGAGAGTCGGTGACAGTGCGTGATCTCACCGGAGTGAGGCCTGTGAGAGGTGGGAGACTCAGGACCGGCAGGAAGGCACGGGTGCTGGGGAGGTCGGGGGCAGGGGCCTCCGAGTAGAGGAGATACAGGGCGACTGGCACTGCCCTCAGCACTGCCTCGCTCACCACTACAACCAGCATCACATCAAGCAAAATCACAACCACATCAAACACCTCCACATTAACCAAAACAACATGAACCACAACCACATCACCATGGAGCTTATTCCACATAACCCACCACATCAACCACAACCAACACCACATTAACCATAAACACAACCAACCACAACAGCCGCCATTCGTGACGTCACCACGTGGCTTGTGTCAGGCTAGGTGCACTTGAGGCCACGTAAAGTGTCGAAATCTCACTGGCAGGTCACGGGACAGACCTAGGTTACATGGGTTGCCTGACTGAGATGACTGGCAGATGCATCACCTGTGACCTCTACTGTTCCAATTTGCTGCATTTTAGCTGCATGACACTCCAATTGCTGTTGTGAGCGTCGCTGCTGTGCCCTCCACTGTAGCTGGAGGGCGACTGCCTCCAACTGCCTAGTAGCATCCTTCATGAGTCGCCTCCATAGATACCAATATTAACATCGCTGGTACCAGTCTTCGGCAAGTCCACTTCGCTCCACATCCTCCTGTACCACATCAGCCCACCTCTTTTCTAGCCTGTGCCGCGTCCGTTTCGCCTGCTCCATTCAGGCAAACAGAAGCAGCTTAGGTTTGCGGTGGCTGGCCATGTGGGCTACATGACCCAGCCAATGTAGCCTTACCTGATGGATGAGCTCACTGATGGGACTGTGTCCAGATCTTTCAAGGGTTTGTGAACTCCTCACACAATCCAGCCTGGTTAAACCCAGGATCATAGGCAGGCCAGACTGAATGATTCTAACTGGCACAGGGATCCACAACCACCACAACAATATCTACAAATTGAGCCGACGTCAGGCACCTGCAGCAGGCAGCCCAGTTGCATGCATGGGGGGAGGGAGGAGGGGCCATGCCAAGGGGTCCTTCCAGGGGGCAGAGCTCAGGGTCCTTCCGAGTGGTGCAACCAGTAGCTCCGATGCCCGCAGTCCAGACAGTACAAGGACCCGGCCCCGCACAGGGTCAGCCAAAGTCACCAACTACACAGGGCAATCCTGTTATCTACAAACCCAAAAACCACAATCCTCTTTGGTTCTTTTGGTAAAGTCACGTAGAAAGAAAATAAATTAAATCATAGAATACGACATTTCGATTGCAACACACGCGGTCGTCATCAGGTAGAACTAAATTTGAGAGAGAGACAAAACACAGACACGGAGACACACAGACAGACACACAAGCAGAGAGAGACAACACAGACACACACAGAGAGAGACACACAACATACACACACAGAGACCCAATGCCTCTGTGTCGTGGCCTTAAATAACGAGAGAGGGGGGGTGGCAGAGAGAGAGGTGGGTCTGCTGGAGTAGAGAAATTAGCACGTCAATGAGAGAGCTGTGTGGAAATCCACTCCGCGGCGGCAGAGGGAGAGAAAGACCCAGCAATTCTTGTAAATTTTAGAGAGAGTTGTGTGGAAATCCACGCCGAAGCGGCCGGGGGAGAGAAAGAGCAAATGGACCTATGAGAGCCTGGAAAATTTTAGAGAGAGAAATAGGCAGTTTGAGAAAACAAGCTGAGCAAATGTTTGGAAATGTAATGCAATTCAACGCAGACTTCAACAACATTCACCAATATTCTGACACACTCCTGGCCCATGGGAACACATGGTCACCAAACCTGGCTTGTGATTAGTTGTGCCACTTACCTGCTTCGCCCAATCATGAAGCAGCTCCTCTGGGATGGTGTAAGCACACAGTGCCACCCACACCTGGACAGAGACCAGGAAGCATAGGAGTGAATCAGTACCACAGTGGACATTGCTGCCTAATGTGTAACTTCGCAGCACTACGACAACGTGCCGCTGTGCCTTCAGTCCCTGTGTCTCCGGTCCCCGTGTGTCTCAGTGTCCACATGTCTCCGTGTCCCCATGTCTCCGGTCCTCATATTCCATGTCTTGTATCCCCGTGTCCCTGCGTACCTCTGGTGAATCTCTGTGTTGGTAGACGCGACACGTCTGCACCCCCCACTTTTCCCCGGGGGGTGCAGGGGGGGCAGGGGTCGTGCCCTGTGGGTGCAAGGACCCCCTCTGCACCCATGATTGACCCCCCAAACCCAGCACAAATACTTGCACGAACCCTGAGGGCACAGCACATGGACAAGCAGCCAGCAACAAACAGCGCTATTAGAGTGTAAAACGTTTATAGAAATGAGGCGATTATGAGAGCTTGTAAAAAGAGAAAATGGAAGGGATGCCTAGAGTGAGTGGGTTAGTCGGTAAGTGGGTGAGTGGTTGAGCAAGTGACTGGAGTTAATAGTTAATAAGTGAATGCTGGATCATTAATCATCCTGACTACTGCTGCTTCACTCTGGATGGCAACATGATTCAAACTTCAGCCAAATGTGTGCTTTGCATAGCAGTCACTGCAGTGTAAAGTATAATATTCTGGTCACTGTGCAGCGTAGCAAACGCTAGTCATTATGTAAACGTGGTGTAAGGACACATTGGGGTGATGCAAGGGCCCAAAGGCACACCATAACTATTCAATCAAAGGTGGCTGGAACACACCTGTGAAGGAAAAAGCACGGAATTGGCTAAGGACTGGGAGAGAGATTTGAAGGGGAAAAAAAGGGAGAGCGAGGGGCGGACAGACAGGCCAAGGGACAGGTTTGGTGGAGAAAAGGGGATGGCGGAGATTAGAGGAACTAGCTGGAGGGTTCCTGTGAGATCGGGGAGAGTGTATAGAGATGGGATGTGACGGATGTGAGTGATCCTGAAGCAGCGGCTCCCTTACCAGTGCATGTGTTGTAGTGCAACGGATTTTTAATAAAGCCTGAAGACCACCTGGTGTGGACTCCCTTTCAATTAAACAAAATATATCTTGTGATGCTGCTGCGTTAGAAGTGGTGCTTGAACACAAAACTCAACACGTCTGTCAACAACACTGTGAATAAGAGCCATTATATGAAACGTCACAGATTTTTTTAGATTGTCTCCTTGGTAATCCTGGCATGTCCCGCATGATTATCATCTTGTCCTCATGACGGTGAAAATTGTGATAATGATGGCGATTGGTGGTGGTGATAACTGTGTTAATGATGGTGATGTTGGTGATGGTGATAATGGTGATATGATTGTAGTGCTGATGGTGGTGATGGTGTTCATGATAGTGGTGATAAAGGTGATGGCGGTGATAGTATTAATAGAGGTAATGGTACCGAGAGCGTGTTCTCCTGTAGCGAGGATGAGTGTGCAGCAGGAGGATGGGATTGCGCCATCACTCCACGACATCACCACACGACTGGAAACATCAAAACCACCACCATCATCACCATCACTCCCATCATCACCAACATCATCATTATCACGACCATTGACATCACCATCATCGATCACATTATAACAACCACCATCAACATCACCGCCACCATCATCACCATTATCACTATCACCATCATCTCCCCCATCACCATGTGCGAGTCTATATGTCTCTTTGTGAGTCTATGGGTTTCTGTTGGAATGTATATGTGTGAAACTGTATGTCTATGTGAGTGTGTCTGTGTATGTCTGTGTGATTATATGGGTGTGTGTGAGTCTCTATGTATATGTGAATGTTTGTGTGAGTATATATTCTGTGTCAGTCTATGGGTCGCTCTGTAAGTCTGTATGTCTATGTGAGTCTGTTAGTCCGTTTGAGTCTATGATTCTCTGTGCGAGTCTGAGTCTACGAGTCTCGAGATGGTACCTGTCCTCCTCTTCACTCTCCTCGTCATCTCCGCTCTCGTCGTCGCTCCCCGCTCGTGAAAACACGGGCAGCACCTCTCCAAAGAACGAGGCCATGGCCACTCACCCGACTCACCCCTACTCACACTCCAAAGACAAAAAGACCCCAGTATCGCCTTAAATATACTGTAGAAGCAAGTGTTGTTATCGAGCACCTATTAAGGCCGTAACGGCACAGGAGGGGTGGGTGGCCAGCACCACGGCCGGCCGCCTTTGTCTCCCTAGTGGCGATGTTTACTTCACACCGCTACAACAGTTACTCATTTGAGGCCTAGTGCATCTAGGGGAAGCACAAGACCGGTTCACATATTCGTCACGAGCGGGAATCGAACTCAAGCCGCCAGATTCGTAGCGCAAGGTGCTAGCCACTGCACTATTGCTCCCCACTCACTAACCCCTACTCACCCTCACTCAACCCTACACACCCCCACTCACCCTCACCCCTACTTACCCTCACTCACCCTCACTGCTACTCACCCTCACTCACCCCAACTCACCTCACCCCTATTCACCACTACAACAACATCCGCCATTCGCCACTAAGTGGCGGTGACGTCACCACGACGCTTGTGCCAGGCTATGTGCACCCTGAGGCCACGTGAAGTGTCGAACGCCCGCTGGCAGGAGGTCACGGGGCAGACCCAGGTGCCACGGGTCGACTGACTGAGATGACTGGCTGATGCACCACCTGTGCCTCCTACTGTGCCAACCTGCTGTGCTTTAGCCACCCGGCGCTCCGCTCGTTGATCTGAGCGTCACTCCTCCGCCCTCCGTTGTTGTTGGAGGGTGACTACCTCCAACTGCCCAGTAGCGTCCTTCACGAGCCTCCTCCACAGAGGCCGATCTTGACACCGCTGGTACCAGTCATCGGCAAGTCCACTCAGCTCCACGTCCTTCTCTAGCCCGTGCTGCGCCCGCTTAGCCCCCTCAATCCGGCCGAACAAAAGCTGTTTCGGCATGCGGTGGCTGGGCATGCGGGCTACTTGACCCAGCCATCGCAGCCTTCTCCGCCGGAGGAGCTCACCGATGGGACCTTGCCCAGATCTTTCAAGGATTTGTGAGCTCCTCACACAATCCAGTCTGGTTAAACCCAGGATGATTCGCAGGCAGGCCAGCCTAAATGTTTCTAACCGGCGAAGATGTTCCATTAGGGGGGTCCACGTTTCGCAAGCGTAGAGAAGGGAGGGAATGACCGTGGCCGAGAAGACCTGAAGCTTAGTGCGGAGCGACAGACCAGGTAGCTTCCACACAGCGTTACGCAACTGATGAAAAGATATTGCCGCTCGACTGATTCGGAGTGAGACCTCTGCTGTTAAACTGGAGCCAGTCATAAGCACACTGCCCAGGTATGGGAAACTCTCCACTCTCTCCACAACTGCCCCATCACCGAATGGGAGTTGTGGGAGTGGAGTGTCCGATGGTACAAAATACCCAGGCAGGTGCTTAGTTTTGGTGGGGCTGATGGTAAGGCCCCACCTCTTAGTGGCACGCTCCAGTCTCAGCAGCAGCGTCTCCAACTCCTCCTCTGAATGAGCAGCTATTACCAAATCATCAGCATACATAACGTGGTTGAGCAATAGGGAGCCATCCCTTGACCGCACCCGGGCATCGATCAGCCTCCCATTATATCTGTACCATATGGAGATTCCCCCGGTACAGCTATTGAAGGCTTCACGAACTACGTGGTCAAAATAGATGTTAAATAATGTGGGAGCCAGAGGACATCCCTGTCGCACCCCAAGGTGTACAGGGAATGGCTCTGACTCCCGGCCACGTAGTTTTACCCGGGCCCGCTCACCATCATGAAGGTCCTTAATGATCGTGAGCAGAGGGTCAGGTACTCCAAAAGCACGAAGAACAACCCAGAGCCCAGGCCTACTGATGGTATCATAGGCCTTGACCAGGTCAATAAAGCAGAGATGTAGGTCTTGTTGGAATTCCATACACCTCTGCTGTAGCAGACGGACAGAAAATATGGCATCTGTGCAGGACCGCCCTTTCCTGAAACCGCATTGGGGCTCCGCAAGCCTCTCCTCAGCGTGCCTGGCAAGGCGATGCTGAATAATCCTTGCCAGGACCTTTCCCGGCACACTGAGGAGTGAGATGCCCCTGTAGTTGTTAGTCTGTGCGGTCACCCTTCTTAAGGGGGACCACCAGGGCATCTTTCCAATCCTGCGGAACCCGTCCAGTGGTCCAGACCGTTGTTATGATGTCATATAGGGCAGTCTGTGCACAAACGCCACCCTCCCTCAGCATTTCGCTTGGGAGACCATCTCTAACCGGTGCCTTTCCTGGTCTCAGACTCTGGATCGACTTTAGTACTTCCTCAACAGATGGCACCTCAGCCAGCCACTCACAGCCTCAGCAAGGTCATCCCCACTTTGTCCCACGATGTTGTCCAGGCTGAGGGATTTCCCCTCCCCCAGGACTTAACAGATATGCTCAACAAATCTGCAAACCTGTTCGTGGGGGTTGGAGATTGGGTCACCGTTTTTTTCCCCTAATGATGGAAATAGGTTACTTTTTTGATGGAGTTAATTAGTGATTTGTGAACGCGAGCGATTGCGGCAGACTCCATCTCCTCAGCAACCAGTGACCACCTTGCAGCGCCTCATGGCTCTCCGAACATCCGAGCGAAGGCTGCGATAAGCCTCCTCATTCTCTTACGGGGGATGCTGTAGACGATGAGAGTGAGCCTGTGGCTTTTTCTCAGCCAGCCTGACCACCTCCTCTGTCAGCCAGGGTCTCTAGGGAGGTCTGAACCATGTACCCAAAGCAGTAATTGCAGCTGCATGAGACACAGTCCTAAACCTCACCCATTTCCCCTCGACATCTGGAGGAATGGGGGAAGATGCCAACCCCAGCCGCAAGCGATGATTAAATTCTCGCTTATAACCTTCATCAACTAGCTGAGACCAGGCCACCTTGGGTATGAATGGGGTCCTGGGTGTACACCCACCACCAGAGTGGAAGAATGGCAGGCACACCTTACAGATGACAAGTCGATGGTCAGTGGGCAGATCAGCTCCACGGTAGGTCCTGGTGTCAAGGACATGGACCCGCGTTCGCTGTTCCGTCACTACATAGTCCAGCAGATGTTCTTGCTTGGACCCGGCATGCATCCATGATGTTGTGTTGATGCGCCGATGCCGGAACAGAGTGTTGATAATTACAAGCCTATGGGCTGCACAAAAATCTAGCATCCTCCTATCATTGTTATTGAGCTGATCTGGCCCATGCCTTCCAATCACTCCAGACCAGGTGCCATCATCATGACCAACTCGGGCATTGAAGTCACCCAACAAGATGACTATCCCGAGGGGCCACTTTAGCTAGCACCTGTGACAGGTCATATTAGGAGTCTGACTCATCAGCCTGGCCTGCATCCCTCCACGGATGTTCGTCTTTGGTGGGGGCATAAGTAACCATGACCACCACTCCTCGCCTTCGGTAGATGGGAAGGCGAGCTCAAAGTAGTATGGGGCTTACCGCTTCCCACACCTCACCGCCATGCTCCCATCCCCCCTTCATTCCTTTGTTCAGAAGAAGAGCCACTCACTGTTGTTTGGTAGTCTCCTGCCCCGTGTAGACGACTGTCCACCCCTCATAGTGGCAGGACCCAGAGCGGTCCACCGGACATCCTGAATACAACAGAGATCCGGATGGTACCAGTCCAGCTCCCGACAGAGGAGTGGCAGCCTCTCATCTGCAGCGAACGTTCGAACATTCCACGTGGCCACCCTCAGTGTTTTTTTGTTGTTTCTGGAGGAGCCCCGAGGGTAAATATTTAATCTCCTGGCTCCGCCAAATGGGGTTTGGCCAGACGTCATAGACACCAGTCCCCCCTGGGCCTCCGGCACAAGCTTATTAATTAGATATTTTATACGTTGTGTTGTGGTAATTAATTGAAGGTGGATGGGTTACTATCCCCTTGCACCCATCCAGAGCCCCTATTTAGCCACTGTGGTGGTTACAAACGCCATGAGGGGAATGGTCAATCTAAATTGGCCCTCCCCCCACGGCACTGCCCACCACAGCGTTGCCGTCCAGCACCACGAGGAGGTAGGGGGTTGTTTGTGGCGGACCACTCACCCATACTCACCCTAACCCACCCTGACTCACCCATACTCACCCTCACTCACCCCATCTCACACCTACTCACCCTCATTCACCCTATCCCACCCCTACTCACCCTCACTCAACCCTCCTCACCTCACTGACCCTCACTCACTGCTACTCACCCTCACTCACCCCCACTCACCCTCACTCACCCCGTCTCACCGTCACTCGCCCCCACTCACCCCATCCCACCCCTACTCACCCTCACTCACCCCCACTCACCCTCACTCACCCCCACTCACCCTCACTCACCCCCACTCACCCCTACTCACCTCACTCACCACTACTCACCCACACTCACCCACTCACCCCTACTCACCTCACTCACCCCTACTCACCCTCACTCACCCCTACTCACCCTCACTCACCCCATCTCACCCTCACTCACCCCTACTCACCCTCACTCACCCCATCTCACCGTCACTCGCCCCTACTCACCCCATCTCACCCCTAATCACCCCTACTCACCCTCACTTACCCCTACTCACCTCACTCACCACTACTCACCCCCACTCACTCACCCCCACTCACTCACCCCCACTCACCCTCACTCACCCTCACTCACCCCCACTCACCCTCACTCACCCCCACTCACCCTCACTCACCCCACTCACTCCCACTCACCCCCACTCACCACCACTCACCCCCACTCACCCTCAATCACCCCCACTCACCCCCACTCACCCCTACTCACCCTCACTCACCCCCACTCACCCCAACTCACCCCCACTCACCCTCACTCACCCCCACTCACCCCCACTCACTCCTACTCACCTCACTCACCCCTAATCACCCTCACTCACCCCTACTCACCCTCACTCACCCCTACTCACCCTCACTCACCCCATTTCACCCTCACTCACCCCATCTCACCCTCACTCACCCCATCTCACCCTCACTCACCCCATCTCACCCTCACTCACCCCTACTCACCCTCACTCACCCCATCTCACCGTCACTCGCCCCTACTCACCCCATCTCACCCCTAATCACCCTTACTCACCCTCACTCACCCCTACTCACCTCACTCACCACTACTCAGCCCTACTCACCCTCACTCACCCAATCTCACCGTCACTCGCCCCTACTCACCCCATCTCACCCCTAATCACCCCTACTCACCTCACTCACCCCATCTCACCCCTAATTACCCCCACTCACCTCACTGACCACTACTCACCCCTATTCACCCCCACTCACCCCTACTCACCCTCAGTCACGCCATCTCACCGTCACTCGCCCCTACTCACCCCATATCACCCCTACTCACCCTCACTCACCCCTACTCACCTCACTCACCACTACTCACCCCTACTCACCCTCACTCACCCCTACTCACCCTCACTCACCCCATCTCACCGTCACTCGCCCCTACTCACCCCATCTCCCCCCTACTCACCCTCACTCACCCCTACTCACCTCACTCACCACTACTCACCCTCACTCACCCTCACTCACCCTCACTCACCCCCACTCAACCTCACTCACCCCATCTCACCGTCACTCGCCCCTACTCATCCTCACTCACCCCTACTCACCTCACTCACCACTACTCACCCCCACTCACCCTCACTCACCCCCACTCACCCCCACTCACCCCCACTCACCCCATCTCACCGTCACTCGCCCCTACTCACCCTCACTCACCCCCACTCACCCCTACTCACCCTCACTCACCCCTACTCACCTCACTCACCCCTACTCACCCTCACTCACCCTCACTCACCCTCACTCACCCCATCTCACCTCACTCACCCCTACTCACCCTCACTCACCCCATCTCACCGTCACTCGCCCCTACTCACCCTCACTCACCCCTACTCACCCCATCTCACCCCTACTCACCCCTACTCACCCACACTCACCACTACTCACCCCCACTCACCCTCACTCACTCCTACTCATCCCATCTCACCCCTAATCACCCCCACTCACCCTCACTCACCCCCACTCACCACTACTCACCCCCACTCACCCTCACTCACCCCCACTCACCCCTACTCACCCCTAATCACCCCTATTCACCCCTACTCACCCACACTCACCCTCACTCACCCCATCTCACCTCACTCACCCCTACTCACCCTCACTCACCCCTACTCACCCCCAATCACCCCCACTCACCCTCACTCACCCCTAATCACCTCACTCACCACTACTCACCCTCACTCACCCACACTCACCCCTACTCACCTTCACTCACCCCTACTCACCTCACTCACCCCATCTCACCCCTAATCACCCCTACTCACCTCACTCACCCCTACTCACCCTCACTCACCCCTACTCACCCTCACTCACCCACACTCACCCCTACTCACGTCTGTTGCGGGTGAGGGGGACGAGAGAAATGGAGTCGCGAATCCTTTCGTCGTTCTAATTGAAAATCGATTTTCGTAGAGCCCCCAACGGTCACGGAATCGATAAAGTTTGTTAAGCAGCGCGATTAAAATCGCCAAATCCTCGAGCCATTCAGATGTTTTCGGAATCAAGATTCAGTGTAAATGATGCTATCAGTCTCCATTCATTCTTATTCCAGCTCCGATTTGCACGGTTGGCTACGTACGGTGCAAAACAAGTGTTCTGTGTTGTACATACAGCACATGGCATCGATGCGCGTCTGAGAATGAATCTCGATAAGGAATCGCTACTGCTCGTGGCACTCACGCTGCGAATCGATGGGGATTCGCGACTCCACGCCCGTCGACTCACAACGTTGTGAGTCGTTGAGCAGCGGTAGGAGTGGAGTCGCGATTCCAGAATCTTGAATATCCGCATTGCTTCCATTGTGGTGATTCCACCGCCCTCTAGCGGCTGGCGGTGGGGGCTCATGTAAACCTATTTTCAGTTTCAGTTTCATTTATTTGGTAGAGCCCTGTGAGCCATTCGGCTCTTGAATCGGGAGCAACCGCAAAAAAAAACATGAGCAAGAAAACATCTTAAAGTGATTATGTGACTGTGCAAACAGAAAATCCAGGAAAAAACACAGCAAAATATTCCTGAAAAGCACCATACACCAACGCTGTGTGCAAAAATCCCAGTGGGATGCAAGTCAAACAACAACAACCACAAGACAACTAAGATTAAGGCCATCAGTATAACTCCGTACTACAACAAACAAACATGGCCAAACCAAAAAACTTTTCGACATCACCAAAATAAAGCCATGAAAGCAATGTAACACTGATCAATTGGAACTGACCGAATTTTCACAATAAACGACATAAACAACATGTAACACCAAACCCTAGAGCCATAGCTGGCTGCATGAGTCACTCCACAACAACAGGAGCATCAGTCGGAGTATCAAAATTTGCAATGCACCTGTGATGCCGCCGCCACGGAGCCGATCGGCGGGCGGCCCACCTGCGATCTCGCCGCTCCGAGCGACGAGGCCGACATTGCTCCACCCCACCACCTCCCCACCCCCCCCCACCGGAACACACACGCACGCACTCCCCCACCATTAGAGCGCGTGGGGAGACACCCTGGCCGACAGGTTTTCACCCAGAAGCCCTCGTAAAGGGATAATCTTCACGGTTTCCTGCAGCCAGGGAATTGGACGGTCTCCCCCGACGCTAACACCCACCGCGGCGCCGTGACTTTGGTTGTAATTACATGGTCACGACGGGGCTGCCGAGCCACCGCGGGTAGACAGCACACACAACACACACGGGTCAGCAGGCAGGTAGGAGGGCAGAGCCACGAGCGGCGGGAAAGCAGGGTCGCCCTCTGGCTGGAGGGTCGCTGAGCAGGTAAATTTAGATGCGGACGTCGCTGAAAGCAACGGCCCGGGGGATGCTGGGATACAGATGGGCCTACCGATTGGCGGGTGATCCCAGCGAACTGATTGGCCCGCGAGTCGGCACCAGGTAGCCCCTTTGATGTAGAAAGAATAAAGCGGGTCAGGGCGAAGGAAAAAGGTTCTCTGGCTACTCGAGTCAACCCCAGGCCCGTCAACTCCCGAGTCCAGCCGCACGAACGTCCGTGGGACGTATCGACGCGCCGCGAGGACCAGACGGCAGTGACGACGAACCCGCTAGCGGGTCCCAGGGAGGTCGAGTGGGATGCCCCACCGGCAGGAGACCCGGACTCGGGGGGGGACGGCACAGGGGGGGAACAGGAGCGCGACGACCTTTCCCCGCCAGGGGAGGAGTGCGGCGGCGGCAGCTCCCACACTAGTGGAGAGTCTGGGAGCGTCGGTACTTCGCGGACAGGGTCGCAGGCAGGGGAGATCCCGGGGGCCGGCGACCCTAACACACCTTTAAGATCAGCACACAATCAAAATACAGATAATACTTTGCAGCGGTCATCCGGGGCGAAACATTTTATTATATTTTAGGCCATTGAATAGCAGTGGCAGCTAGGGGTGTACAACTCCTCTAGAGCAGTTTTGAGTGAAGATCTTATAGGTAGTGATTCAAGTTGCAGTTTATTGGCAATAGCATTCCAGACCCTGGGGGCATCAATAGCAAAGGCCCTTCCTCCAGTTTTTGTACGGCAATAGGGAATGTGAAGCTGGTAAATGAGCGAAGACCTGAGGTCAAATTTGTTCTTTGACACAGAGAGGAGATCCAGCAGTTAGTCTGTGGATTTTTTTGTAAATACATCGTGAATAAATAAGATCTGGTGCACAAGCCATCGAACATTAAGAGACGTTAAGTTTGGCCCAATAGTGGAGAGTCTGGGAGCGTCGGTACTTCGCGGACAGGGTCGCAGGCAGGGGAGATCCCGGGGGCCGGCGACCCTAACAATATGGTGTCAGAAGCGGTACGAACCCCCGCGTTACCCCACGCGAAAATAAGGCATATATTCACTGGCCGGGGTACACCTTCGTGGAGAGCATTTGCCCGCAACGTCCTAGGGGCTAAGGAAATTAATGGGTGGACGGACGCGCAGACGCTATGTCAACTTAATATGAATCTGGATGGGCGGGCAGCCGATTTTGTGGAAGCCCTACCCGCAAGCGCGCAGACACAGCTAGAGGAGCTGATGCGCCGACTTGATCTGCGCTTCGGTACGCGCGATGAGGAGGAGGCAAAAGCGGCCTTAGAGGCACGCCGTCGCCAACCCGGCGAGGACCTGCGCGATTATGCCGAGGATGTGCGTGAGCTAACAAAGATCGCACGCCCGAGGCACACCACGGAAGCGATTGAGGAGCTGGCCACAGAGAAAATCCAGCGATACTTAATGCGCACGGCGTGGTGGCAGCCAGACGTGAACTGTACGCGCCTCTCCTTTGATGCCCTTGTCGAGCGCGCGCGCAAATGTGAAAGAATTTCTAGCGAACGCGCACAGCTCCGAGGACTGGGACGGGAGCGCACCATCGCAAGTCTGTCCACCGAGGAGGAAGAGGAGGAACAGGAGCTCACCAGGATGGTAGGGGGTCGGGAAAGGGGGCCTCCGGTATCCCGCCCAGGTGCGACCCCAGCTGCTACGGCTGGTACACGACCACCCGCTCGGGGGCCATGACGGGGAACGGCGCACTCGGGAGACTCTGCGTCGCCAGTATCTCTGGCCCAAATTGACGCAAGATGTGGCCGCCTGGGTACAGGGCTGCCGCGCTTGTCAGCAGTGCGGGCCGAAACCGGCACGATACCAAGTACCCCTAAGGCCGTTCCGCGTCAGTCGGACTAACCAGCTGGTCGGCATCGATCTCCAGGGGCCATTCCCACGATCCCACCGGGGCAACCGCTATATCCTCGTAGCGGTGGAATACTTCACCCGCTACCCCGTGGCGGTGGCCATCCCCGATAAAACGGCCCTGGTAGTAGCCCGGGCGTTCGTGGAGCACTATGTACTTAAGCACGGGATCCCGGAGCGAGTCCTTACCGACCAGGGTAGCGAGTTCGAGGCCGAGTTGTTTCAGGCGCTGTGCCGGGAGTTCGGGATCCAGAAAGACCGAACCACGGCGTACCACCCCCAGGCGAACGGTATGGTTGAACGTATGAATCAGACTCTGGCCGGAAAGCTCAAGCGTATGGCGGCCGCAAACCAACGGGATTGGGACGAACACCTCCCCTACGCCCTGTTCGCCTACGCCACCACGGTGCACACATCGACGGGACAAACCCCGTTCCTAATGATGTTTGGTCGTGAGTCTCGTCTACCCGCAGACTTGCTGTTCGGCATTCCTCCACCCCAAACGGAGGAAGGGAGTCGCCCCGTGGAACATCTGATGGAGACCCTACGAGGGGTCCGGGACCGGGCCTACCCGCAAGGGGAGGCCGCGCATCGGCGACAGGAACAGAGCACCCGACCCCGCGTGGAGCCCCCCCTTTTCTTGACAGGTACCAAGGTGTGGCTACACACCCCTCGCGTCGGGGCCGGACAGGTGGGGAAGCTGACCACCTACTGGCGGGGCCCCTGGACCGTGGTACGGCAGATCTCTCCCTGGACGGTATTAATCCAGGGTGGAGAGAGGGGCCGAGAAACGGTGGTTAACGTCCGCCGCTTAAAACCATGGAGGGCAGCCCCGGCGGGGGAGAACCCCGCTGCCCGAGTACCGCGAAACCCCGGTGCCCCTGCGCCACCCGTGCTCGGGGGCCTCGCGCACTACATGGGCCCCGCCGTGCCCCCAGCCCCGAGGCGTCCCGGCCCCGCCAGAGGACGGCGGGGACGCCGCCCCTTAAACCCCGCTGCCGCGGAGTTTGTCCCCCAGCCCCCAGGTGCCGAGGGATCGGAGGAGCCACTGGAGTGGAGAAGGAGACCGCTGCAGGAAACCCCGAGGACGGAGCCACCTCCCCCGAGGCCAGCCACGAGATCCGGGCGGATCCCCCGGACCCCGCAGCGCTACCTCGTGAGCGCGGCCCAGGCGAGGTGCTCCAGTCAACCCGGGACGGGGACTGGCACCTCGGGGGGCTATGTGATGCCGCCGCCACGGAGCCGATCGGCGGGCGGCCCACCTGCGATCTCGCCGCTCCGAGCGACGAGGCCGACATTGCTCCACCCCACCACCCCCCCCCCCCCCCCCCCCACCGGAACACACACGCACGCACTCCCCCACCATTAGAGCGCGTGGGGAGACACCCTGGCCGACAGGTTTTCACCCAGAAGCCCTCGTAAAGGGATAATCTTCACGGTTTCCTGCAGCCAGGGAATTGGACGGTCTCCCCCGACGCTAACACCCACCGCGGCGCCGTGACTTTGGTTGTAATTACATGGTCACGACGGGGCTGCCGAGCCACCGCGGGTAGACAGCACACACAACACACACGGGTCAGCAGGCAGGTAGGAGGGCAGAGCCACGAGCGGCGGGAAAGCAGGGTCGCCCTCTGGCTGGAGGGTCGCTGAGCAGGTAAATTTAGATGCGGACGTCGCTGAAAGCAACGGCCCGGGGGATGCTGGGATACAGATGGGCCTACCGATTGGCGGGTGATCCCAGCGAACTGATTGGCCCGCGAGTCGGCACCAGGTAGCCCCTTTGATGTAGAAAGAATAAAGCGGGTCAGGGCGAAGGAAAAAGGTTCTCTGGCTACTCCAGTCAACCCCAGGCCCGTCAACTCCCGAGTCCAGCCGCACGAACGTCCGTGGGACGTATCGACGCGCCGCGAGGACCAGACGGCAGTGACGACGAACCCGCTAGCGGGTCCCAGGGAGGTCGAGTGGGATGCCC